TAATGTGGAAACATAGAGGCTATGTTAGGAGAAACCAATTGACCCCGTAAGGCGGCTAGATTGGATCCTTTGTTTCGATATTCGAGCATGTTTAGTTCATAATTAATTCAATTTCTATGCCTTTGTTTATATTTAAGTGAATGTTATACCTAAACCATTTCCCTTAATGTTTTATTTCTTATTTTAGCATCTTTAGACTTTAGTTTATTTATCTCTTATTCCGGACTAGCTTAATTGTCGATAACATTTGGTGGTGTTTATTCGTTCTCTGTGGTTCGACCCCTATGCTTGCCTTATACTCGTATTAGGTTTGTTTAGGTCGTATAAATTGTATTTGATCTAGGGATAGACAATTGACGACGCGTTTATTCCCTTGTCACCTAGCAGCAGTCTTTAGCTGCAAACAGGAAGACATGACCTCTGTTAAGAGCTATGTTAGCCATTCTCCGATCCCTTTAGTGAGCTCTATCAAGGTATGAATTCTCTTTTTTCATAATTAATTAAAATATACTCGAGCTAGATGTATCCCTTTAATTTCCTAATAGATTTAAGTTGCTTTATTAAATTATTTCAGCCATACTTGAGTAAGGTGATGAGGTTCTTTATTTGAGCTCAGTGATAATAATGATGATTAAATTAGCAGAAGAAAGACATTGGTCAAGTATGATGGTCGAGGCTGGGGAGAGATTTGCAAAGCTTACACTCTTTAGATTAAAATGCTTAATTGAATAGCTCTCATGCAAACAACCAGCCACCTGGAAAAAAAATGAAATCCCGTTGCAGATTATGTGCATCGGTTGATCATGAAATGCTTCCCTTAAGTGAATTTACACTCTTTAGAATGCTAAATTGTTGGATTTATTTAATGGGGTAGATTGAATGCTTCCCTACTGTTGCTTCATTAGCATATGGGTTTGAGAAGAAGAATAACGAGACGATTTTGGTTTTCGATCTTGGAGGTGATACTTTTGATGTTTCAGGTGAGTTCTTTAGAAAGAAAGGCTCCAATTGTGAGAAATTCTATGTATTTATCTGCATTCTACATTAGTCTACTTTTTGATGCAGTACATCAGATTATCTTACATTGCAACTCTTTCTGCTTTTTGTAGTTCTTGAGGTTGGAGACGGAGTTTTCGAGGTGTTATCTACATCAGGTGACACTCATTTAGGAGGCTACGACTTCAATGAGGTAGGAACAAGGAATAGGTTCTTTATTATTGTGCAGTGAAATGATACAATTTTTGTAATTGCTACTGCAGAGAATGGTAGATTGGCTAGCAGAAACTTTGAAGAAGAATGAGGACCGGTATTAATCTTCGGAATGACAAAGAAGCTCTTCAGCGTCTAACTATAAAGCCGCTGATGATTGTTTAAATGTTGTTTAAGGAATTAGGTGTTACCATTTCTTTGTATTCAAGGCTAACCTAATCAAGGGTTGAATCTTTGAAGCGTCTAACAAAAGTAGTGTATCATGTACATATTTTTGCGAAATACAAATTAGTCCTTGTACTTATCTAACTATAATCAAGATACTTAAATGAAATCAATTTTGTCATTAATTGCGATAAAAAAATTGCGATAACTTGGGGTAGCACGCATGCAGTTGCAATAATCTAACCATGGAATACACCTCTTGTTTAAGAGTTTTTAATGTAATTGCTTTTTTTTTAATTTTTTTTTTACTAAAACAGATGATTTTTTCAAAAAAAAAAAATCGATCCATATCCAGCAAGTTACATGGAATCGGGAACAGGTGTCGGACATACAGACATGTCCAAGTGTCTGATCCAGCAAATTCCAAAATTTTAAGACACGAGAAATTTGTCCGATATTTGAACACGGGTATGGGGACATGTCTATACGTCACTTAATTGATGCCAAATGTTTCTACAGAAATCTTGTTGTACATAATTGATGTCAAGTGGTGCTGTCAAGATGTTTGTGATTGGTGGCAAGAAGGGATATAATGGTGAAGTACTAAGGGCATGGTTGTCCATTCACACTAAATATCGGTGATTTTGATCAACAAAAAAAAGTAGAATAGTAGACAAAATTAATCAAGGTTTCCGAAATGGGATATTAAATACCGCCAACAAAAATGATAATTTACTCTAAATTAAACAAATGTAACCTATTAAATATTGTAACTATTTATCTAATATTTTTGGAATGAATACACATTTTATATATTAAGTTTATTAACGCAATTATCAAAACAATCATTTCTCCAAAAAAAATTAGTCATGTATTATTTTTTGTTTAAAACAAAGATTATCTTTTAAACAAATTTCCTCAACTTTAATTAATTAAATGGTTACATTAGGTATTACGTATTGGCATTACGAGATTTAACCACGCTTAATTAACCTATTAATAATTTTGCCAATGCACACTATATTAAACACACCAACATTATTATTTTAAAAGTTTTTCAGCTGACATATTTAAACTTACATCTACATTTAATACCGCTCTTTTGATTAAAAAAAAAAAAAAAAAGAAAGAAAAAAAACGTGGTTTATACTTTCCGTTCAATTTTATAAAATCGGGGGGCGCCCGTGTTGCGGGTGCTCCAACAACTAGTCAATTGAAATTTGCCAAAGTTAGCAAACTGGTGTGCCACACTATCAATGAACAAAGCTGTTTCCTCCGATTTCAGAAAAGGTGAAGAATTTGGGTTTGTTCTTTGAATTTAACAGAGCTTCAATATATATTATGTCTTCAAATTTGTTCAAAACCACATCAATAATTCTGGCAACTGTAAAAGCAGGACAAATAGTGTCTGCTCGCAAGATGTTCGACGAAATGCCTATAAGAGATACAGTTGCTTGGAATGCGATGCTCACATCTTATTCTCATCTGGGTATTTACCCAGAAGTGTTTTCGCTGTTTCGGAAGATGAGAATTGCTAATACAAAGCCTGATCATTTCACATTTACTGCTACTCTAAGTGCTTGTTCTGGTGCAGGAGATGTGAAATATGGTTCTGCAATTCATGGTATAGTTGTTATTTCTGGGTGTCAGAATTCACTTCCTGTTCGCAATGCTCTTATTGATATGTATGGAAAGTGTATGATTCCTTACAGTTCTGAGAAAGTGTTCGAGGAGATGCAACTGCCGAATGTAGTGTCATGGTGCTCACTTCTGTATTCCTATACAAATGCTGGTCTTTTAGGTGTTGCTGCAGAAGTATTCATCCGTATGCCGGAAAGGGTTGAAATATCTTGGAACATAATGATTGCAGGTCATGCGCGGCATGGAGACTGTGAGTCGTGTTTGAACTTGTTTAGACAAATGAGAGAAGATGGCGGATGTCCTGATCAATGGACTTTGAGTGCCCTCGTAAACTCGTGTGTTGGAAGGGAGGAAACCAACTTTGGACTCATGATCCATGCTTTTGTGACTAAAAGCGGATGGTATACTTCTGTTGAAGTGCAAAACTCAATTTTAACCTTTTATACTGAGTCAGAATCTCGAGATGATGTTAGCAAGGCCCTTAAGTCCATGGACTGCTGGAATCAGGTTTCCTGGAATTCTGTCATTGATGCTCATATGAAAATGGGGAATACCCATGAAGCATGGATTTTGTTTCAGCAGATGCCAGAAAAGAATGTTGTTTCCTGGACATCGATGGTTGCTGGATATGCTAGAAATGGACAGGAATCAGAAGCTATTTGGCTGTTTGTTCATATGTTGAGAGCTTCTGTTAACCCTGACGAGTTAGCGTTTGGTGCATTCTTCCTTGCATGTTCTGGTTTGGCTTTACTTGGGCATGGTTTGATGATACACGGATGCTTGATACGGCATGGTTTCCGTGCCTCTGTATATGTAGGGAATGGTTTGGTTAATATGTATGCTAAATGTGGAGACTTACTAGGAGCAAGTAGAGCATTTGGTGATGTCGTCAGCAAAGATTTAGTGTCGTGGAACACAATGTTGTTTGCATATGGGTTGCATGGACGGGCCAACCAAGCCCTGCAGCTTTATGAAGAAATGTTGGCACAAGGGAATAGACCAGATGTTGTGACATTCATTGGCTTACTAATGACTTGCAGCCATGCTGGTCTTGTTGAGGATGCTCAATGTTTTCTGGATTCTATGTCATCAGTTTATGGCCTATCTCATGAAATGCATCATGTAGCATGTATATTGGATTTGCTTGGACGTGGTGGATATTTAACAGAAGCTAGATCATTAGCTAAGGGAGTAAAAGTTCTCAAGGGAAAGTCATCTGAAACAATGTTAGGAGCATGTTCCATGACCTTAGACATACTGTTAGCAAAAGAAATTGGGGATGATTTGATTATAACCAAGCCTCTTGATGAGATGAGTTATGTTTTAATGTCAAATTTGTATTGCGCTAGTGGACAGTGGAAAAAATCTGAGACGGTAAGGAAGATTATGGCTGATCAAGGAGTAAAGAAAACGCCTGGATGTAGTTGGATTGAGTTAAAAAATGAATCAATAAGTTTTGTTTCAGGAGATTTTTCACACCCATACATGGACAAGATGTGTAAGATACTAAGCAATCTTGAACTTGAATTGAGATATCCATGCATTTTGAATTGCAACAGTTAAATTTTTATCCCTGACATCTATATCTTGCCACTTTTCCTGCTTTATACTGTAACACATCTAACTCACCTTATATAGTTGATTCGGTCTATAGTTTTATACTATACTTAGTGCTCAGAATTATACTAACATTTTCTGAACACATGCATGTGTATTTACTTTTGTTCAAGTTTTTACTTTGTGTTGCTTCAAGAATATCTTTTTCTGAGGCTGAAGCCAGAAATCCACACTTTTGTACTTTTGGCAAGTGAGCTGTACACTTATCTCAAAATTACTTGGTGAGTAAACTTTCTTACTGTGTGTTGTTCATGGCAAGGCCTCGTGAAATCCAATGAGAAAAGGAACATCAAAGAACACTTCCCTCTGCTCATTGAAAAAGAATGAACTCCTGGCTTATAAGCTTCACAATGAACTTCATTTTTTGAATTGTAAAGATGATATACAAGCACTATATTTCATTGGCGATTAAGACATTTATGGGAACACAGCTCGAATCTGAGCTGAGCAGTAAACCCCAAAATAATAAAAACCTTAATTTAAATTTTTTTTTTTATTTATTTTTTATTTTAATGTTATTTTGTGATACAGGGTACTCTTTATGAAATCAACAATTGAAAAAAGTGACCTTTTTCTCTATGCTAAGGATCCCCTTAGTGCTTTACGCATCACACATTCACATCTCTACTAATTCATAGTATCAACTGATGACTGATATATATGATGTATATACTTTCTTCTTATTGGCTGCACTAAGCCACTGTCAATAGAGCTGATTTCTCTATTTGAACTAGTACAAGTAGTTGCTAGATTTGCACATTGAAAGTTCAAATGCTGTAGATGAATATGTAATTTACAGAGTGTGTATCTAATTGTGATTGATTATAGGTGTACAATTGTGAATGATTTTGCTAACAAACTTTTATCATCAAAAAGTGTATGATTGCGAGTGATTTACAGAATGTTTTGAAATACCAATAGAACCTTCACTATTTGAAAACCCTATTAGCCAGGCAAACTTTAAGGAAAAAGCGGTCATATGGTAGATAACCTGGAACAAGAAGAGATTTCAAGCATTTAGAAGTCTACAACAAGCAAAGTACATATTGGGAAGGTTTACCTTCATAATCAATAAAGGGGTTGGACTGAGTTGCCTGTGGGACAATAGAAGAAGCAGCAAACGGATCCATCCATGCTCCACCTCCATTCTTAGCTTGGCTGATATCTTCGTCAAATACCTCCCATTTATCTGTAATTACTGTCTTCAAGGATGGCTTATCTCTTTCCATTTGATCAATATCTTTTCTCTCACTAACACACACTATTGTTGCTGTACCTGTACCAGGATACTCCTGATTGTAAGAACCTTTTTCTTCATGATCATCTTCTGAAGGCGAGACCCCATTTCCATTAATAATTTTCTCAAGTTCTAATAAGTCGTCCTCTAGGATTTGCTGGATTTGTGGACATTCAGTTGCATGAAGCACCCCAATTATTTGGCAAAACTCAAAATAATCAGACAAGTCTTCTCCTTGTTTGTTGGTTCTATGTACTACATCCAGGGCCATTGAAGCTTCCACTTTTCCCATCCGATTAGAGTAAATTTTCACTAGAGCCTTGGCGATTCCATCACAAATCTTACTATACAATTCAAAAACCTCAATAACCATACAATCCATAGCCTCGAGGAACACCACTTCATCTGTCATCCTGATGCCCCCATATGGCCTGACATGTAGTACTGCTTCAAGCAGATCCTGCCACCGCTTCACCCTTTCCAGTTGCATCCTTATTCCATCTTTCTTCTCTACAATCACTGGGAATGCCATCTCATCCTGCAACTCTGCTGACTGCGTGACAGACTTAAGGTCTGAGAACAAGAAGTAAGCCTGAACAAATGAACTGCAAGCCCCACGAAGAGGTCCATCACGAATATACCCATCCTGAAACCCCGACAGATCAAAGGGAAGCCGTCCAATCTTCTGTGTGCCAGGAGCCTTGGTGCAGAGGACTCCATGGAGGAGGATCAGAGACTTAAGAGCCACAATCCAGTCAAGTGTACGTTCCAACCGGCGTGTTAAAGCCCACAGAAAAATGATCAAATGAGATGGTGAGGTCCTGACCCACATGAACACCCTCTGAGCATTCTGGTAATCCACACAAGAATCATCATGACTTGTTGCTCTGATCAATGCTGCCTCTAGATCAGGATGCCTGTGCCTCGTTTTCCTCGATAGGCTTGCCATTATAATGCTGTTTCGATCCTTAATTATACCCGATGCTCTCTTCCATAGCTGCTTCATTATTGTGAAGACTATCGAGCTGGTTTGAGTCACCGGATGATCAAATATGATATTATGATTGGTGATATTGAGTTTTTGATTTTCGTTTGTTGTTGATTTGTTTGAGTATTGAAATTGTTGATAGGATATGAGGTGTTGTGGAAGTGGCAAAATCGAAGGAAGAAATCAAGAGGGAACAGAAACTGCTGGTCGGCAGAAGGCTGTTTCCTCTTGATTTCCTTCTTCCTGTTGGAGTTTCAAGCCTACAGCCTGTTGAATATAAACGTGCGCGCATGCACTTTGAAGCAATATGCCTTTTTTATTTTTATTTTTTATTTTTTTATTATTATTATTTTGATCTTTCTTTGTAGTTATATATGTTTGAAACTATGTTTTTTATTATCTATTTTCTTTTCTTTAAAAACTAAATTTAATTTTGCTTGTAGTAGACATTACATTTTAAAAAAATAATAATAAAAAAAAAAAAATTAAAGTCTTGTTATGTTTGGATCCATGCATATTAACTTCTTATTAATTTTAGTTAATAATAATTATACAAATACATCGGCAAATTTAAAAGTCAAAAAGTTGCCAGCAAAATAGAAGTATAGAACAATGGAAGCTTTACCAAGGGGACTCCATTACCCACCCCTTGGCTTATATAAACTAGTCCAAATGTATGCATTATGTGTACGGGTATAATCTTGTTACAAGTATACAATGGAAAAAAAATATTAAAGATAAAATATCATATGAAAATTAATAAATTAATTCACGAATACAAAAGGGTATGCTAAAAGTTGGAAGTTGGGCTTGATACCTCGACTAACAATGTCAAGCGACTGAGTTTGATTGACAATAATTCTACGCCGACATATGGGACATAAAACAGATCTATAATGAGAGTTGTAGTAGTCTGTTATGTTTTAGGCCGAGACTCAATCGTTTGCAAATGTATGTTTAAAGTTTAGATTGGTTTTTAAATGGCCATGGGTTCGATTCTAGGATTTCTCGATTTTTTTTTCATCCTTCTCTTCTAAAGAAAACCTGTACAAAGTATTGCATTTTTAACTAAAATATTTTGATTCAATTTTAAAATATACAGACAAAAACTGTTTATTAGCTATTTATATTGTGCAAAATTGGCTGAAACAACACAAACTACAACTTGGTTGCACTGAACAACATGGACTTTAAATGGAGCTAGCAATGAAGAGAACTTGGGGACGGGATTGGGTACTGTAAATGACATAAATGTGTTCCGGTGTCAAAGATTCAACTATATTAGATTAAACACATATACCCCTGTAGGGAGTATTTCAAGCATCCCACACTTGAGCCCCACTGTGATCATACACTTAAACATGGTGGTGTCCAAAGGGAAGCTAAGGAAGCTAGAGCAAAAGAGTCACCAACAAGTTTTAAGAACTTGTAAACCGTTCACAGGGTGAAGGTTACATGACGTGGGGTGAGACTAGGTTGTTGACTAATTCTCTCTCGGTCAAAACTAAATTTGTATACACTTAACAAACCTAAATACAAGTATAGAGACAAGTCAAGGATCGAACCCAAAGGAATGGGGGGAAATTAGCTATTGCCAAAGTCAAGCTATCTTGAAGCGTGAAAGGGAATGTAGGTTGTCTAAGCTCAACTAAACAAACAAAGCAAACAGAAAGTAAATCAATATATCAAACACTAGGGATTTAGGATTAACCTTTTCTTGCAATGGACACACACTAATCAAGTTGGAGATTGATCAATTCGAGTATTGCGAGTGAAGATAGATAATGTAATCAAAAGAGCTCAACAAGCTATCTCCTAGGGGTCTAACTAGCGCCAACTACGAAAGACTCTATTTGAAACGTCATAAACCAAGCTCAATCGATAAATGTGAGCTACAAATCAATGGTCCGTGTCAATGTAAGCACACAATGCAATCTAGCATGACAACTAAAGTTAGCTACTCTTTAACTAATCACACACATGCACAAAATCAATCAACCAATTTAATCACAATGCTAAATCAATCAAAAACTCCCAATTAGCTATGATCCATCACTCAAACATGATTCCCCACATCCCTGGCAAGTAAACTACTACTATCCATGGAAGAAATCAAAATAAAAACCAAGCTAATCAATATATTCATCATCATCATTTCAATAAAACCAAATTCAATTAACTAATCAACTAATTTGAACAATCAACAAACAATTGAAATCAAAACTAAAGATTGCATTAAAGTAAAAAGAAATCCTTACAAACTTTGGTGAAATCAAAGGAAATACAAAGGAAATTTTGCTTAGAATCATCAATCATCAACCATGAATTTATCTCTCTAAAATCTAAGAACAAGTATTTCTCTCTCTAAGAAAATCAAACCTAAATTTCTACCAAATTGATTCTCTCTCTAAAAATAGAAGAAAATTCTATATATAGTAAAACTAACAAAGTGAAGTTAGTTAGATCGTCCAAAATAGACCCGTACAGGCGCGGCCTTCTTCAAGAGGATGCGCGGCCGCATAAAAATGGGTATGGAACAGGGAGAGCAGCATGCGCGGCCGCGGCACCAGGCCGACCAGGCCGCGCACCCGCGCCTGGGAATAGGGCAGCCTCATTCCTTCTTCATCTTGATGCTCCTCGTGCGCTCCACTTGGTGTGCTTGATGAACACAGAGCATGGCAGACCCAAAAAACACCTTAACAGTGGGTTCAACACGAGAATTGTTGCCCCCACAGCTTGAAATCAATTGAAACTTACACATCTCCAAACTTAAGCTTCAATTGGAGAACACTAGGCATCCTAATCAATGAAAAACTCGAGAAGAAACCTCGGGAATCCTTAGACAACAATCTTAACCTGAAAAATGAATGAAAACAAACAAATAAGAGGGAAAAAGACAAGAAAAACCAAGAAATGCATAAAAATGGAAAATCAACTAAGTAAAGTGCAAAATAAAGAAATAAAGAGCAAAACTAAGGGAAAAGGAGAGTAAAGATCTATAAAAGCAATCTAAAATCACCCTAAAATAGAAAAAATAAGTGCTATAAATGACACTCATCATTACACCCCTTTACGATCCATGAGATCGCTAACTCCATAGTGGTTCGGAACCATGACTGGATATTCGGGGATGAAGGTATAAATCCAACTTAAAAGTGATTGAATGTTCCCTAATAATAGGCCTCTACTTTATTCTTATCATATTCATGTGCGCTTTCTGACTAACATGCAATCAATAGGTTAACCCTAAACCTGTTTAATCTATGTTGGTTGAATATTAATGCACAAACAAATCTATTATTGGAGATCACTTGAATTATAATCATATTATCTTAAACAAGATTATTAATTAACTGATTAAGTGTGATTACAAGCACCAATTCCTTTTAAACATGCATAAAAGGTGTGATCAAGCAATAACAATAATATATCAAGCAACATAATATTAATTATCATCATCATCATAATAATAATAATCTTAATAAATAATAATAATGTTAGCAAGATCCTAGGCATGATACTAACAACATTAATAAAAAATCCTAGCATGTCACTAAACATTTAAGATCAAAGCTTTGACCTCAATAAAGTAGCTGTTGTTAAAAACCTACTTTTTCAGATTAATTGTGATGTTATTGGGCTTTTTGAGAATAAAGTAAAATAGAAAAATGTTGTGGTTATCAGAGGAAGATTGGTGTTGGGTGGTCTTGGACTACTAATCTTTCTTGCTCTCATAAAGGTAGAATTTGGGTTGGGTGGAAGGATGATAGGTTAGCCCTGGATGTAATTCAAGTTCACGAACAGTTCATACACTGTGTAGTTAGTACCAAGTGTTTCGGGGTTTTCTGATGTCCTGCGGGAGAGTTACAATTCCGAGACTGGAACCGGACGCCTGTACCTGCAAAATAACGGAGACTCCTGAGAGCTCTGCCTCCAACGGTCAAGTTAGTACCTGATTAAGGAGTAATTAATACGGAAATTAATGTAATAAGACCTCTCTAGGTGAGAGTGTTAAATGTTGGTAATCTGCTTTGTTAGCGAGATTAGCCGGTTATTAGTGTTCCGTAATGTTTCTGTTCTTCTCTGTTCTTCAGGTGAGATTAATTTCTTGATCAATTGCCTCTCAATTGCTTGATTTCTTTCTCCCTTTAATGAGAATTAATTAAGTATTTATAGTCTTGAGAAGCGTGCCACTCTCTAGGTTTAGGGTAAACCTAGGGCTGACCGGGCCTCTAGACAGGATTGGGCCTTGTTGGCCGGTTTTCCCATTTGGCATGGGTGGACACGTGGCGTGCCTCGATTGGTCCGTAGAGGACGTATCTGTGATTGACACGTGGCAGGCTCCTATTGGCCTTCGTGAAGGACACGTGGCGGAACCTGGTTGGTCCACTTGTCAGACGGTGATTGGTGGATAAAAATCCCCTAATCATTTGCCCCTCACAGGTGGCACGTGACTGGTCACGTGTCGCCTGTGACAGGTGTCGCACGGTGACAGGCGACGGCCTGCTACAGGTGTCACCTTGCAAACGGCCGAGAGATTTTCCCGCCCAAATTTTGAATTTGGAAGCGACCTTTTGCCTTCTCACTTTGCCTATATAAGGAAGTGCTGACTTCGGTCATTTTCACATTTGAGAACTTTGCGAGAACATTCGGACCCCTGAACTTGCTCTGACATTTCGGACCTTTTCTGCCTACCGCCTGTTCTGACAAGCCGACTGCACCGGATTTCCAGAACTTCATCAACCGTCACTCGTTCAGGTAACTCAGTTCTCTTACTCTTAATTTTCTTTTTATTTTTTGAAATGGCACCACGGAAGCACACGACACGACCTAAGTTAGTGATCAGCCGGTCACCGGGGACGGCTGAATCTAGGACTAGGAGTGCCGCCTGCCCTTTTCTGGACCCATCTTTGCCCTTTATACAAAGTCCGACTGTATCTGTGTCTATGCAGAACGTGATGGCCAGAACAAAAAAGACTGCTATGATATCAAACTCAGACGGCTCCTCCCAAAGGGTGCTCATTAGTGAAACATCTGACCAGGCGCCAGATGTAGAATTGAAACGAGGCGGCTGCCAAGCCGACAGTTCTGAGAGAGGGGCCAAGGTGGTCCCTTCCCATCTTACCGTTGATATGTCTAATTTTCCTCCTGCTCCTTCTAAGGGAGAGGAGGCGGGCCCCTCTGGGAGAGGGGAGGAGTCGTCCTCTTCGGACTCGTCAGAGGACGAGTCCGAGTCCAGCTCTTCTGGCCACAGTTCTCCAGGCTCAGAAGAAAGACATAGCCGCCTACAAGAGGCGAGACTTTCTCATGCAGTTGAGAAGGGGGACAATTGGGCGGAGCCGTCCGCCTCTTACAGAGAGGAAAACGCCCCCT